GTAGTTACGACGTGCTTGCACGTACTTGACATTCCAAATCCATGGATAATGGTATAGTTAGGGCTTCTGATGCTACAGTTCAATGGTTATAATGATATAGACTAACATGTAGTCTCTGAAATAAAATAAAATAAAATGTCTGCATTTATCTCAAAACACATACTGGTAAGGGGCTAGGTATCTGTTAATTTCTCGAAACTGAAGGAATCTTGACTTGTCAAAGTATTGCAGACTAGACTATGAGAGAAAATTAGGAACTGAAATGGTAGATACCGGTTCGCGAACACGTGGTATCATCACTATTTCGTGGTTTATAAATACATGCTTATGATATCGTCGGATTCATACAATGGACTCTGCTTTTAGTCGAGATGTCTTGAAGTTATGATTATGGAAATGTCGCTTCAGTTTAGTATCAGTGTCTGCAAATAATGTCATTAACATGAATTGAAGGCGATACTTGGTGAGATGAGGTGAAATGGGGTTAAATGTTGCGTCCAAGATTATTGCACTTATATAGCGACGTGCATGCACGTGTGTGTGTGTGTGTGTGGCTGCTTGTGCTAGTCCGGACTGATGCCGATTTTGTGTGCTCCCCATTGTGATACCATGCCGCAGTTTAACATGAATACTCCTCTCAGACACAGTATACTCCGGGCCGACCAGTCCTTGTTTTAGCCCCGTAATGCCGAGCGTCAGACAGGGTAACAACAAGTACCATCTTTTAACGTCTATGACGTGGCCGGGGATCGAACCCGGGACCTACCACCAGACCACGGAGGCGGTCTAAGGCGATATTAACATGACACATGGACATGATTTACATGACGATAATTACAGAATATAAATATGAATACATTTTTACTTGAGCTTTTAAAATGTACAACTTTTCCTGAATAAATGTACAATGCTTGGCAGAAGTCTTCTACAGCGTAGTTCCTGGACAGTTGACACCATGAATAACAACGACGACATGACTCGTGTATACCTCGGGTCTCACACTCCCATAAATAGGCCAACAAGGACAAGATCAACGGTGCCGGTAGGGAAGTTTCAGTAATTGTTGCTAGAAACTAGTCGCGGCAATACTCGACCTTTTCTCTGTAATATAAGTAGCTAGTATGGTATAGCTGACCATGATAACGTCGTTAGCGTTGGAGTAGATACAGCTACCTTGAGTGAGTTGGGTTTTCATGCCGTTTTGAACAGTATTTCAGTTATATAACTTCATGTGGAAAGAAAGACGCAGGAATGACATGCTGGCCATACACGTTCAACATTTTGGTGACAGCTTTGAGCACTGTTTTGGTGCTGATAAATCAATGATGATAATAAGGGTGAATCTAGGCTCGAACCCATCAAGGTGCATTTGTACCCGTGAAGATCCGGGGTAGAATAGGTCTTCGGCAACCCATGCTTGCCGTAAAAGGCGACTATGCTTGTCGTAAGAGGCGACAAACGGTCAGGCTCGCTGACATGGTTGATGCATGTCATAGTATCCCAATTGCGTGGATCGATGCTCATAATGTCAATCAGCGGATTGTCTGGCCCAGACTCGATTATATACAGACCGCCGTCATATAGCTGGAATATTGCTGAGTGCGACAACAAACAAACAAACAAACAAACAAACAAGGTACGTCTGATATAATTGCAGCATCTTAGATTACAGCACTACTAGCGACCCACGAGGAAAATACAGCTGGTAAAGACATATGTTCGGCTACATCTTAACAACTGACTACCTGGATCAATACTCGTATGTACGACATGACATATTACAAGATATTGCTCAGCGTTCTGGACGTAAAGATGCCCTTATGTACAAGACGTCATATTGCAAGCTATCACACGGATTAGGTGTGCTGCACGTGGAGATTCTTGTTTGTGTAAAATGTCTGCTTACAAGCTATAGCACGGATTAGGTGTGCTGCACGTGGAGATCCTTGTTAATATAATATGTCAGCTTACAAGCTATAGCACGAATTAGGTGTGCTGCACGTGGAGATCCTTGTTTGTGTAATATGTCAGCTTACAAGCTATGGCACGGATCAGGTGTGCTGCACGTGGAGATCCTTGTTTGTGTAAAATGTCTGCTTACAAGCTATAGCACGGATTAGGTGTGCTGCACGTGGAGATCCTTGTTTGTGTATAATATGTCAGCTTACAAGCTATGGCACTGATTAGGTGTGCTGCACGTGGAGATCCTTGTTTGTATAAAATGTCAGCTTACAAGCTATAGCACGGACTAGGTGTGCTGCACGCGAAGCTACTGGTTTGTACAATTGAAGGTGCCAGTTTGCATAATATGTCAGCTTACAAGCTCTAGCAAGCTATATATATCAGTTTGTACAATAGGTCAACTTACAAGCTATAGCACGTGAAGGAAACCGTAGTATATCATGACATTTTAAAGGGTGCATTTTAGCAATAATCAGCGCATAGTCAAAACTCCGCAAGTGTGTGTTTGTTTGCTTGTTTGTTTGTTTAACGCCTCACTCAGCAATATTCCAGCTATATGACGGCGGTTTGTAAATAATCAAGTCTGTACCAGACAATCCAGTGATTGACATCACGAGCATCGATCTACGCAATTGGGATCGATGACGTGCATCAACCAAGCCAGCGAGCCTGACCACACGATCCCGTTAGTCGCCTCTTACGACAAGCATAGTCGCCTTTTACGGCAAGCATGGGTTGCTGAAGACCTATTTCACCCCGGATCTTCACGGGTCCAAAGCAAATGGATAACCCCCAGACAGATTACTTGAATGTCATAACCATCATAAATCATCGTACCACTTTACGACTGTTTTGAAAGGACATTTATACAACATCTACAGTATCTTTCCATCATGTTGCAAGCCTAAATCTGACTATAACATCGCGGCATATGTATTTCGTAAAAGTAAAAAAATAACGTGATATCCACTGATGCAGTTCAAGGATATTCCGTCATTCTGGACCGAGGTCGGAGGAAATGTCAAGGACTATAACATCTTCACCAAGACCTAGTTCGATTGCCAACGTGACACAGTTTTTCTCTAATTGCCTGATTTCTAATAGCTCTGTCCCCGTTGAATGTTGCCCTACCAGTGGGTCAGGACACACTCACCTCTTCGCTGACACTTGCTATCATCACTATTTCACAGTGTTCCATAAACATGACCTGATGATATAGTCGGAATCGTAAAATGGAGACTGCTTATAATTATATAAAGGGTTTTGTCGCTCTTATCTATTTGAAGACCTTTCCAATTACTCTTACAAATGTCAATGGTGGAGACACGCAATACCGACCTTGTATCTTAATTAAGTTTCCTTCTCAATAAATATTTCTTCAGTTTAGTTAAACGCCAGTGTTTACATGTCATTGTTTGCTTAGAAGGCGGTATTGTGACAGTGATTTAAACTAATGCCAACTTTATTGAAATAGTTGAAATATGATAATAAGGTGACAAACTTTCAAAATCTCTCTCAGACAACCAGTCTCAACCCCACACGGAAATGAAAGCTAAAAGGGCCAACATCTGGCAAAGTAACTTTGACCCTTTTGAAACTTGACTTTGGCCCTTTTATAGAATTTTAAGTACCTATATTTCAAAAACGCATCAATGAAAACATACAATATTTTTTCTACATGTAGACAAGAACTCAGATGCTATTCATTCAATAATATGCAAAAAGGGCCAAAGTTCTAAGCTCTTCAGTTGTGCCCCAAGTGTACATGTATTAATCTCTACAGTTATCAGCTGACTGAGAAATATATGACATTGGTTATTCATTTATAGACAAAACACCCTCATTACATGTACGAGTAGGTCGAACTCATCTGTGATATATCTGTTTCAGTAGTTAAAGTGAGTGAGTGATTGTTAAACGCTATAGCAGCAATTTCTTCAGTCAGTCGAAGGAAGAGCGGTGGGGTAGCCAAGTGGTTAAAGCGTTCTCTGATCACGTGGGAAACATGGGTTCTATTCCCCACATGGGAACTATGTGTGAAGCCCATTTCTGATGACCTCCGCGCTGACATTCCTGGAATGTTGCTAAAAGAGGCGTAAAATCCGACTTACACAATCAATCGTAGAAGACATATATCGTATTGAATATATGCCACCTTGATATCATTCTTTAAGAAATAATATGTTTGTATTTTGCAAACAATGACAGATTGCAAATCATGGCAAGAAAATTTAATATTGACAAAATGCAAAGACACTACATCTTGATTGGAATCCATTCTCTAACGATGGTATGGTATTCCAACCAGGTTATCCCACTGCGCATGTGAATTGAGCTACGAGGAAAGCACCGCTTTTCAGCTTGAAAGTGCTGTTTCAGTACAAAGATCGATAATAAGGTTTCAGGTGACCTCACGTGGGACTACTCACGTTTACATCACAACAATTGCCAAACATTGAAAATGACGTAACAGTTGAACAGAAGTTGCCTCACTATCAAAATAGTATTTCCTAGCATATTATTGACTATTCTGTGCAGTACTTATCAACTTTTCTTAACAAATCGCGTAAAACAGTAAACAATCTATTAGTACTAGTTTCAGAGCAAGTTCACCCGTGGGGCAGGACACGCTCTCCTTTTCGCGAACACCTGGTATCTTCACTATTTGAGAGTCATTCGTAAACAATGCAATTGTTGTTACTGTTAATCCTCAACCTACTATAAATATTCCGTACCATACTCATTACTGAGCCTTGCTTCCAATACCGAAACGTCGCCTTGACAGAAAATAAAGTTGTTATCCATAAATTATCTCCACTTTGTCATTCGTAAATACATGCTTATGATATCGTCAGAATCGTACAAAGGACCGTGCTTTTAGCAGAAATTTAGTATGACTATTTAAAGGGTTTTGTCTCTTTTATTGCCATTATATCAATGAATCTAGAGCCATGCACTTAAGACAGGTATATGCAGTGACCCTTTACGGAACATATAAATGATTGCATGTCATTAATGACTTTCAGTATAATACTTACGTGTTTTAGCAATGGTGAAGATGCGTTCTGTATGGCCGTAGAGACGATCATCAAAAACATATTTGTCATGGTAACCGTAGTTATCTGGTGAATCCCCCTGTATTCCTGACCTCTCGAGCAGCTGAGAGATCTTAGGCGCTTTGGGCAGCGTTCTGCCGGTCATGTTTGGAGGACTGTGGAAGTGCAGTTTTTCAAGAATCTGATTCTTAATAACCGCGATTCTATACTTACGATCATCTTCTCTCATAGCACACGCAACACATTTGTTAACCGGCGCTGATGTGGCGAAACCAGCTAAACTACCGTTCCCATACAGACTATCTTCTGTCTCGTTTACACTCGTAGCATTCATACTGTCATTAAACTTCCAAACACTGGTGCTGTTCTCATTGACCCCATGTGGCACATACGTTGTACTTAAGTTGACGTGAACGTCTTCGCCATCATCATAGGTATCCTCCTCATCAACATAGCTGCTATTAGATTCTCCTAGTTGTGTTAAAGTGTCGTTCCTCTCTACGGCATCAGTCAGGGAATATTTTCCAAGCATGCCTAGTATAGCGACAATGACAAGGGCAAGAACGGTAACATGGTCAAAGTGCGTAACCATTCTGCCGGAGAGAAATCAGCTGATCAGCTCCTTACGAACGCCACTGCGGCACTAGCGATCAGCTGTTCACTCGGCCTTTCCAGCAGTCACTGTGTTATCGCTGACAGGGTCTATGTTTTATACAGCAGCGACGCTTCCACTACTTATAACACCATTTCTCGTGTTGACGGACAGCTTGAGTGGGCAGACGTGCGGCATGATGGACACATTCTCCGCCCAAAGGGATTCTCACATCGATGGAGATTGGCACAAACATTTGATCCTTTAACTACTGGTAACAGATGACACTCGCTGATACAACGGCCAGTGTGACTTCATCGGCAGATCAATATCGAGTGCCATAAACCATGCGAAATGAGCATATTTCGTTGACTCTTGATTAATCCACCCCTGGGTTATTGATTTTTATAACTATGATTTTGTTACAAGTACACAAAGCGGTTGCAACGCGAAAGATTTAATTCACGTTTGATCGTAGTAGAGAATGGTTTTAATACCATGGTGTATATGTATTGGGCATGCAATGTTTATGAATCAAGAATGAAGAATTTTATTGTACAGAACACTCTCGCAGGGAAGGGTACAAACTATCTACTTTTGGGAATAAATATGATCATAGATATGAAAGGTAGATATACATAATGTACATCATATATATAGAGATATTACATTTTATTTTCATTCACGGTACGTAAAGATTTATATGTATCATAAGGTGCCTGGCAGAGTAACCTTAGTGTACGTGTGTATGTGTGTATTAGTGTATATGTGCTATAATTTGATGCTACATTTAGATTGATGTTCTTGTGTTTGTGGTTCTAACGTCAAGGCATACATTGAAACATGTAACTCCTAAATATTATGCCGCTACTCGTTAAGACATATAGCCCCATATCTTATGCTGCTGTTTCCCATTGCAATGAGGCACCCACATCCCATGTCACTGAACACGTTAAGACATGAAGCCTCGTATCTCAAGTCAGGGTAAATGGAGACTCATGAAACTCATTAAAAGATCAGATATATTATTTATTCTATGATCACTAATGGGTACTTATTTAATTGCGATACCACTATACAATCTTTGCTGTAAGCCCCAACTATCTGAAGTAGTGTCCATTCACACTGGACGAATAGTTTGATCCGCTTCACTGAGACATGGGTAGGTTTGATTTGGTTGTAAATTCCGAAGATTGTTTGTTTTGTTTCTCTCTTTTTTAACACCACAATATTCCAGCTATAGGACGGCGGTTCGAAATTATCGAGTCTGGACCAGACAATCCATTTAATGGGCATCGATCTTTACAATTGCGATACAATGTCGTGCATCAACCAGGTCAGCGAGCCTGACTACCCTATCCCGTTAGTTGTCTTTTACGACAAGCATAGTCGTCTTTTACGGCAAGCATGGGTTGTTGAAGACCTTTTCTAACCCGAATCTTCAGGGGTAAATTCCCAAGTAGAAAATATCTCATGTACCCTTTCTTTTTCGTGAAAGCCGTCGAGAAACGCGAGCACGACCATCAATATGGAACAAGCAGAATCAGCTCATCAGGAAGCAGCACTCTCTGACAGTCACGGATCTGCGTTGTCCAATCTTGCAAACCAACGTTTGGAACCTTACATTTGGAGTGTTTCGACGACGTGTTTCAGCCTATTAACGTTTTGAGAACGCTTGTTTTGGTCAAATCCAATTTTCAAGTGTATACTATATTTTTCCCGGCAGTTTATATCGGCTAGAGTACAAAATTGGTTATAGTTAGCTGGGCATACTTTTTACCGGTTTTATTCGTTGGATCATGCAACTTTCTTTGTTAATTAACGCCGCACTAAGCAACATCACCGCTATATGAAGGCGGTCCGTAAATGATCAACTCTGGACCAGACAATCAAGTGATTGACATCATGAGCATCGATCCACGCAATTGATGACACGCATCGATGACATGCACTAACCAAGTCAGCGAGCCTGACCACCCGATCCCGTTAGTCGCCTCTTACGACAAGCATAGTCGCTTCTTACGACAAGCATGGGTTGCTGAAGACCTATTCTGACCCGGATCTTCACGGGTTGGATCATGAACTAAATGCATCGGGTGGTCAGGCTCGATGACTTGGTTCATTGCATGTCGTCGTACCCCGTCGGCGTGGAACGTTGCTAATGATGTCACTCACAGGATTATCTGGTTCAGAGTAACTTTACTGGACGCTTTCATACAGTGGATTGATTCCGACCGTGGCATAAAACAACAAACGAATATACGTATTTTGTGACAGGAAAATTTTGCTTTTAGAGGAGTTACTGTTGATGTATTCCAGAGGAAGTACCCTCCACTTACAAAGACAATGCGAATAGAAATGATTCGAGTGATTGAATGAGTATTGTTTTACGCCGCTTTTTGCAATATTCCAGCAATATCAAAGCGGGGGACACCAGCAATGGGTTTCACACATTGTACCCATGTGGGGAATCGAACCCGGGTCTTAGGCGTGACGAGCGAACACTTTAACCACAAGACTACCCCACCGCACCAATATGACTCGAAACGAGAATACAATAAAGGCAGTGGTGTGAGTGGTCTGGAATTTAAATAAATGAAACCAACGAAAAAAACATACACTCTTGTCCAGTTGGGTGAGTTTGGTTTAGAGATGAACAGCTGCCGAATTCCAGACGAGGTCACACCGGGTACCCATGTGGTGAATCGAACCCGGGTTAACAGCTTTGAGAGTCAACACCTTACTACTAGGCTACCCTGCCACCCCAATTAGGACTCTTGAACTTTGACGACTGCAGTTGTAAGGTCAACTGCAAAGTGAGTGAGTGAGTGAGTGAGTATGGTTTTACGCCGCTTTTAGCAATATTCAAGCAATATCACGGCGGGGGACACCAGAAATGGGCTTCACACTTTGTACCCATGTCGGGAATCGAACCCCGGTCTTCGGCGTGACGAGCGAACGCTTTAACCACTAGGCTACCCGACCGCCCCGTCAACTGCAAAGTGATCTCTACATTGATGTCCCACAGGTAATGTAGGCTATGGATTCCATTCCTTCAGCGAACACATGGTGTCATCACCACTTTATGTTTTTACTGGCCGAAAAATGCAGAATGTATGATGTCGCAAATCATGAGCCTCGTGGTTAAGCATTCGTTTGAATTGCTGAAGACTCGTGTTCGAATCCCCACAGGGAACATAACATGTTGATCTACCAGATATCTGCTGTCCCAAGTATTTGTACTATTGGAATTCGTATGGAAGCTGCGTAAAAAGACCTATTCAACCACTCAACCACTTATATTGTAGACAGAGTTTGCCAAAGATGAACCCCGAATACATGCCATTATCTCGTGCCATTTCAGTAAAGTGCGAACCTGTGAAGATCCGGGTTAGAATTGGTCTTCATCAGCCTACGAATGTTCAGACTCGCTGACTTGGTTGATGCATGTCATCGCATCCCGATTGCGCAGATTGATCGAAGTAAGGGTTAATAACAATGCCTAAAAATAATGTATGGATATTATTCGTTTGGATTCGAACACAGGCGTATTGCTTGTAAACCAACACGCTATCTACTTGGCTACTCCCATTGCCCCTCACGCAATTGTGCCAGAGAAACTGAAGTATACACATTTCTTACACTTTCAAGAAGAATACTCCCACTCAAATATTGTAACTTCTCGAAGCAAACGAACTCGTTTGCCAGTACATCTGCATCTTAATATTTACGTTATGCCGTCTTTGCTAGCACTGAGAAACTGTGGCTTGAAGCACGTAGACTTTTAATGCTGTCTTTTTAATGCTTTGTTTGGCAGATAATAGGCAGTAAGCTCATTTTACTCGAGCTATTTGCACGGGATGTATGGACTAGAAACCTGCTTACTCAACAGTTTTTGTCATACGTTCAACGCCCTTTGATGTTCTGGAGAGAAAGTCATTGGGTCGATGTGCCATACGGAACGGGCTCAATCTGCTCCCTGTACGCCTGTCATTCAGATGGTCGTGGACTGAATTACAATGTGTTGAATCACAACTCGTAAGTGTCAAGTGCAGCAGTACGCGTTAAACCAAAGGGTGCGTGCTACCGGCCGGCAGGACAAGACTTACTGGCCCTTTTCGCGAACACCCAGTGTCATGACAGATTTTCAGTGATCCATTCATAGTGAGTGAGTGAGTGAGTTTGGCTTTACGCCGCTTTTAGCAATATTCCGGCAATATCACGGCGGGGGACACCAGAAATTGGCTTCAAACATTGTACCCATGTCGGGATTCGAACCCGGGTCTTCGGCGTGACGAGCGAACGCTTTAACGACTAAGCTACCCAACCGCCCCGATCCATTCACAGAATCGTCACTACTATTTTGCCAGTTACACTAATGGAATCTTTTTTGATGGATAATCGAGACTTGTTATTTCCTGGTGTTGCGTTAATGTTATTCGATATAGTGAATTACGCGATATGGAATATACACGGAATTAAGGAACCCACCATCTAATAATTTTGGTGTGTGTGTGTGTGTGTGTGTGTGTGTGTGTGTGTGTGTGTGTGTGTGTGTGTGTGTGTGTGTGTGTGTGTGTGTGTGTGTGCCGGGAGGAACGCGTGTGTGATTTTCCTTTTTCCAGACACGATTATTTACAGGCTTTCGTTAGATCGCTTGGATATTGTTGACTTCAGCCTTGTAAGATTTACTGTGGTGAGAAAAACACAAAATGATGCAGTAACCCGTGCTTGCAGTAAAAGACAACTGTGCTTGTCGTAAAAGGCGACTATGCTTGTGGCAAAAGGCGACTATGCTTGTCGTAAGAGGCGACTAACGGGATCGGGTGGTCAGGTTCACTGAATTGGTTGATGCGTGTCATCATATCCCAACTGCGTGGATCGATGCTCATAATGTCAATGACTGGATTGTCTGGTCCAGACTCGATTATTTACAGACCGCCGTCATATAGCTGGAATATTGCTAAGTGCGACGTTAAACAACAAACAAATAAAAACAAACAAACAACAAAATGATGCAGATAGACTTTCATGAATTTATTGAGGCCCACGTTATGGTGCTGACGAACCAAAGATTATAATAAACTTGGAATCGAACCACGTGTCCAGTGCTTGTAAAATGTCTTGTTTGTAACCGCAGTTTGA